TACATTTTTAAGCCAGACTGACAAAACATCTCCTCTCTATTTCAAAAATACAAATTATCGTGAGGAGTTTAAAATTACACAAATCTCTGAACAGAAGGAGACAGAAGCAACAGCCAAACTCCATTCACATATTCCTAAATGTCATCTGATTACCAAAAGATACAAAACCTTCATATATTCTCTAATCAATTTTGGAGATTTCAACCACCCAAACATTTCTTAATGTTAATTGGTCCACAAAAAGAGTCATAGAATCACTATACAGACAACCAAAACTTTTCTAGAATTCTATCCACAATGCTTTAAAAATTATTTATTTTTGGTATTATACTTTTTTCTTTATATCTTAGGCTTACTTATTTCATCTTGGATCTACAACATAATTATACTGACAGTATCTTCTGAAAGTTTAAAGCAGTCTTTTTTACACTGTAGCTGCTATGTTCAGAAAATTATGCACACTTGTTTCTGGAATAAAACTGTTTTTCTTAAACTTTCATGCATTAATAAAGCAATAACTGGAAACTACTACCATGACTAAAGTTCTGATAATAGCAACACAAACCCTTACATAGTGCTTCTGAAGTGCCAGTTATCACTCACAGAATCCTACAAAATAGGCGCTCTTATTAGCCCATTTTACAGACTGGGGAACAGACTCCAGCAGTACTATTCTGCCTCAAAACAGTCATATAAAATACTATTGTGGGGGTGCCTGGGTGGCTCAGATGGTTAAGCGTCTGCCTTCAGCTCGGGTCATGATCCCGGGGTCATGGGATCGAGCCCCACGTCGGGCTCCTGGCTCGGCGGGGAGCCTGCTTCTGCCTCTGCCTCTGCCTCTCTCCCTGCTCATGCTTTCTCTCTCTCTCTATCTCTGTGTCTCAAATGAATAAATAAAATCTTTAAAAAAAAAAAATACTATTGTGTAGTTGGGGATGGGATAATCCAACTCCCCCTTATGTTCAAAGCCACTTTACAATTATTCAGGAGTATAAAGAATTTAACAGGTACTTATTCCATTTAAAAATCTTTGTAAATGCCTCAAACTTCTGTAATAATGGCATATACCAATAGAACAACTGTATGGGTAAGAAAAGATGAAGTTTTGCCCATTTCAGCCCTTTAGCATGTAACATTTCCCTAACACATAATGTATTGTTCATTATAAGGATTACTGAGATATTAAAGCCCTCTCTTAGAGACTACCAAGCTGAGCTTACCATTTTACTTATACTCTATTAAAAAAGAAAACGGTAACTGTATTAGGCACATTCACTTCATTATTTGTCACCCCCCACTCCCAAAATTATACCGGTTAGGTTTTAAAAACACCGTATTATCTTTAATATAGGACAGCAATACCTCATTCAAAAACGTGTTTTTTCCCCTAAAACTTGTCCCCTAACTTTCACATTAATCAGCATACTCTAAATACATGCACACTTAAGATATACTTAAGTATATTCTATTCATGGTTCTTATTCTCTGAATTTAAGCCCAGCAATAATTTATGAAAACTAGTACTTAAACCATGGAGAAATACATACTAATTACAGAATAAAGAGGTAGTCTACAATGTGGTTAGTGTCTCAAAAATATTCATCTATCTCTAAGAAGATATGATATTACAACCTAAGAATGGCACTATAAAAAGCATTTATACAATTTTCTACTCTGCATGTTTTCTCCATATCTATTTTTTTGTGTTTTGGATAATCAACAACAAAATGAAAGAGTTGAGTTTTTAGAGACAATTTTTCACTATTTCTAGTTCAAAATCAGGTTTTCAGATTAGAAAAATTTTAATTCACTTATTTTACAAATGAGGTAACTCGGGTCCAGAGAAATTCCATGACTTGCTTGAGGTAACCTGCAGGCTTGACTGTTTGCAGGGCTAAAAATCACAATCCCTATCTCCTGACTCCCAGTCCTTCACTTGAACAGAAAGATTTCTAATAAGTGGAATGATTTTAAGAAAACCAAATACTGCTACAAAAATTAAAATAAGAATTACATCATTTTAACAGATTAGCAAAACATGAACCCAGTTCAAAAAAAAAAAGCCCTGTAAGTAAGAAATGTAATCAGAATTGTAAATCTGGTAAAAATGTTTAAAAATTCTGCCTCATAAGCACGCAATCACCACTAAGTAAGTTGACAACTAGATAGCAAAACCAACTAATAACCACTATTCAATAATAAACCAACCAATTCCACTATCAAACAGAAATAAATGACAAAGCTTTCTCTTTGGTCCAAAAATTAGTCGAGTTTTCCTGTTCTAAACAAAGTTTGCCACCAATGCATGGCTCCTTTTAAAAAATTAGAATTCTAATGAAAGCTTATAATATATCCTCTTGTTTTAAAATCAACCTCTATTTAAAAATATAAAATCTGATTAAACATACACCATAAAAAAGAAAAAAACCACTCAACTTCCTATCAAATTCTACTGACGGTTAAAAATGTTTTAAATCTTTAGATGGTAATATAATCATGTTTTATCATAACTTTTTCAATCACACCTGAAATAAGCACATCTTTTTTTTTAGTTGTAAACCTTTAAAACTACTCTTAAAACTCTACTTTCCTCTTGATCAAAACTCAATCACTGTGATTTTATTTGTAGGCTGAGTACAAACACTGATCTATGCTTGTTTTTAACCTCCCAAGTACAAATATTATACACCATCTTAAATAGCTGTAATTTGAGGTTTTTCGAGAAATGTCAATCTGATATATAAATTCTTCCATTTAAAATATTATTCAATTTATCAGTTAATGTAGCAACAAATTTCCAGGTATAGGTAGACACTACTGAAACCACAAACAATAGTTATTTTCGTTTAACTCATCAAAATAAACTTAAAACCAATGTTAAGTAAATTCAAGTTTAACTGAAGGCAACTTAAATGTTTTCTAGGTCATAAGAATGAATTAAGATAATAGAGAACACTATACAAGAGATTTTGCATGTGCTTACCTAGACATAAAATTTCAAGATCCTACTATTAAACAAAAATGTGCTCAGATACCTAGTGTTCCAAAATGTCTGATTCTCAAAAAGTCAAACAAAGTTAAACCAAATACCCACACACCTAGATATATAGTTTGATGGATATAAAAGTCTCCAAAAGGTGTCTTGTATCCAGCAGATACAGATTGACTAATATGCTAAATGAATAAAAAGAGAAAATGAACCAGAGAACTCCAAATTTTACCAAGAATTCTTAACCGTCTCATGAGTATGCCAACACGACTATTCCAGTAAGAAGGTGAAAACACTCCAAACAAGAAAATCCACTTCCATGCAAAATAAGTGGATTTTGAAAACATAACAACACTAATGAAGACACCACTTATTGTCCCAATTCTAATAAAGAGACAGGGAATATAAATTCATTTTATTAATATCTGAGAGATAAGAAACCCTCCCCCCAAAATTAAAAATGAACATTGGTACCCCTGTTTTTACTAGAGAAAACAAAATGATATTCTTACAAGCATCAGACATTCCCATAATTTGGAAAGACACCATCAGCTGTTTCATTTTTAAAAATATATTATTACTAAGAGTTTCCAAGGTAAGAAAACACAGCAATCTTCAGTGACAGGGGTTTGTGGGTTTTTATGAGATGCAAGGATGAGTTTTGTAAAAAGAAATGCAAAAAAAGTTTTATAAAATCTGCCCGATTCTTAAAAACAGAATATAATCTCCTTTAATTTTTTTTCAAATAAGGAAGACGTGGAATCCACTTAGGGATTTTGTCAAATATTTACACGCCCCCCCCAAATCATTCACTGTAGCAAAGTATTAAATGAAACTAGCCTCAATTACTACTTGAAAACTAACAAAGTTGTAAACATATACACTGTTAAGTTTCCATTAAATTTCCTAAACGTAAATTGCCCTCATTTCAACATCTGTGGGAACTTAACAACAGAGTAAATCATAAGAGATTCAGATCCAAAAGTTAGATGTTCTACATCCAAATGAAAACAAAACCCATCAAAATCACGTCATGCCTTCACCTCACATTCAATTCTGAAGTAGCTGAAACTTCCTAATCATTTCACAAGCCTTCATGAAGTAACATCACTCGTTATAACTACCTCAAAACATCAGTTCTGAATCAGTTGCACTGCACAGATTAAGCCCCCCTCCCCCCCGCCCCCAGTCCCCTGGCCGTGCGACTGCTCTAACTGCCCAACACACCCATATTCATACAACCTAAATCAGTTTGGAAAACAGAATATGGAAAATATAACAACCGAATACAAATACGTTACTTTTCCAGTCACAATACTTAATAGGTCCACTTTCAGAAGACAATTTTTAGAAATTACTAAACATATTCACTTTGAAAACCCACAAAATTAAGAAACCGGTATTTTTCATGCTATTAAACAAAATATATCCCAATATAAGCTGAAAAACTTTTACTTGCCAGATTCCGTACCACAATAAATATAAGGGTAAAAATCAAAACTTTTCAGTGGCCTCCAGTAATAGTTTTTAACTGAAAAAGCGGAATAACACAAGAAATAGCAAAATTAGAAAAAGTCTGTTAAACTTCTGGCTTTTAGAGTGTTACAGGCTTTTGCACTTCTGCGAATGTGTTTTGGTAAAAGCAAGATGAGCCTCTGGCCAACTGAAACCCTCAAACAAAAACCGTAGCTCTGAATTTAAGGAAAGCAAAAGAATCGAGAGAGAAAAAAAATAACGCCTTGCTACGGTTCCGCTGCGGCTGAATAGCCTGCTTGTGAAATGCTAATGCCACTTCGGAGCAGTTAGTCACCAGCTATTGTGTGGGGCAGGAGAAAGCCGAGCCGACCGCGCGTGCAGAGCGAGCGAGTGAGCGAGCGAGCAAGCGCGCCCTCCTCCCTCGCGCCGCTCCCGCTGCCGCCGCCTCGCGCGCGCCCCCGCGCCCGCACGGACGCGCGCGCCGGCCCCTCCTCCTCCGGCCTTGCACTGCACAACACTCATGACGTATCTTTATTTCTAGCACATTAACAAAATATCACAAATAAATTGTCGGCAGCCCCTGCGGCCTCGGGGTGCGGGTGCCCCCGACCACTGCCCCCCGAAGCCCCCGCGACGGCCTCCCAACCCTCCCCGTGGCCTTTGGAGCTTTCACGCTCTGGGGCCAAGTTTTTGTCTCTGTAAAAAATTGCGGGAAATTCAATTTTTATTCGACTCGGGGAAAAGTTTCTTTGCTCCGCGACGTGAATGTCTCACCAGATTCTGGTAGGTCCTGGGATGCTCCTTCCCGGTCCAGTCGGTGCGGCGGGGCAGCAGCTGCGGGGAGAGGACGCCCCGTGAGCCCGGCCCCCAGCCCCGGCCCGCCCGC